TAGACCTTTCTACCAAACAAGTCCAAGCGCTTTGCCTCCTTGGCCTTGGGGGCCGGGGCTTGTTGGCCATGTCACTCTCGTTCGTTGACCGCGGATACGACCAGCGAACAGGGTGTCGGGTGACAAAAGAGGAAGTCGAACCCTTTGGAGGGGGCGAAGCACTTCCTCTCTACGCCCTTTGCAGTTGGTGCACTGGAGACCGGTGTTTGCCATACTGTCTTATAATTAGACTGTATCGTTTTTATGAGCCGGAGCGTGATTCTGGAGGGGCCTTCAGGGCTTAGGATGTCCACCATGGGATCCTCCTGCTCTACCGTCTCCTCCGCCTGTAACCCCAAATTGAGGGCTATTCAGTGGAGTAGTTCCTGGTGCGCTCGATGGTCAATCGGGGGAGGGCCTGATACTGCCGTGCCCGCCACGGCTTCATCTGGCGAGGAGGAAGAAGTTAAAGCCTTCTGTGCTTCCTCCTCTAGCCCTTCCTGCAGCTCCTCACTGACTGGGAGCTCCTCTGGAGTCTGTCCAGCTAAGCGGGCCTGAGACGGTACCGGGCTTGTTGCCGTGTCGGCTCTCTCGTGGTCTGGAGACCGTGGCCTCCTTGTGAGAGGAGGGGTGCCCCTGCGGGGAGTGGGACCGGTGTCCTGAGAGGCCGGATCTCGAGGCCCTGGACAGGGGGCGTTGGTGCTGGTGGTAGGCCCATGGAATCCAGAATGGCCACTGTCCTGGCGGGCCCCACTGTGGGTGCCAAGGGGCTTGGTGTTCCCTGCTGGCTGGTGCCCTGTGGGTATATCTGCTGGAATGGCCCGAGTCTGCCTCAGAAACCACGGACAGCGACCTTGAGGGCCACAGTGGTGCCATGGAACGGTGCCGGTCCGGGACTGGAGAGCGGCACTGTCTTGACCGGGACCGGGATCGGGAGTGGCGCCTTGTCGACTGGGAACGGTACCGGTGCCCTCGGGACCGGGAACGACTGCTAGTGGTCGGTCTCCGGGATCGTGTGACTGAAACGTCCCGGTGCCTGTTCGGATAAGGAGCCGGGGAACGCTGGACCGGTGCCGGGCGTTTGCTAGGGCAAGACGCCTGTGAGGCTGTCTGCGCCGAGGGTAGCCGGGAGTCCACCGAGGCGGAGCTCGACTGGGACCGGCGCCATGAACGGTGCCGAGATGGTGACCTTGATGGGCGCACCATTGCCGGTTTGCCTCTGGATGGCAGTCTCGGTGTCGGCCCCGGATGCTTGTCTTTGGCCTGGAGGGGGCTCTCCGCGGACAATTCGATGAGGTCCCTTGCTGCCTCAAATGTGTCCGGTGTGGAGGGCTGTTCCAGAAGCTCCTCCAGCCCTTCCTCCTCACTCGAGGCGCTTATCCCGGGGCTCGACGGGCCTTTTGGCGCCGGAGCCCCTGGCACCGGGATCTGTCCTGGGGCAGCAATGCCCTTTAGCGCACTCGAGTCCTTCACGGGAGCTACCTTTTTATGTGGGGAGCACCCTCGGACCTTGGGTTGGCCCTTCGATTTGGTCGGCGAAGACGACCGGTGCCTGGGGCGGTCCTGTTGTATCGGTGCCATAGGCTTAGGGTGCCCCACCGGTGCAGGATCACGAACCGATGCCGGGGCACTGCGCACCGAGGCTGATGGTGGCGCGGTCGGATGAGTCGAAGTGGAGGGCTGTAATGCAGCCTCCATGAGTAGCTGTTTAAGCCGAAAGTCTCTCTTTCTTAGTTCTGGGCTTGAAAGCCTTACAGATCTTGCAGCGCTCTTTCTGGTGCGATTCCCCCAGGCAACGGAGACACGAGTCGTGGGGATCGCTAATCGGCATAGGCTTGCGGCATGTGGCACAAGCCTTGAAGCCTGGGGGTGCGGCAGTAAAGAATTCTCCCAGGTTTCATGTCACATCTTTGCTAGAACTCATTCCCTCCAGATAGTTTGGTAACTGCATGAAACCAGTTTCAAGCAGAAGATACTGGAGAAGGGAATAGGTGATTTTAACACGTTCAGAATTAAGTATTTCAAGCTGATTACAAATCAGCCCCCCCCCCCCCCGCAAATACTATTTTGTGCATTGGGAATCCAGCCCGATGGGCTGTAGCCTCCGGAGGATGGCCGTGCTTTCTGTTCCGCATAGCCCCATCTAGGAGTGGACGCGAGCGATCAAACTCAGCCTCGGTGTTAATGTTCATGATCATGACGAACCTGAATGCAACAGGCAATAGCTGAGTCCTGAGAGCCTGGGCCTTGGCAAAAATCCCCAGCACTGGCTTTCGGGTTCTTTCCCAGTCCCATCGTGTTACAAAGCGGGCAACTTTTGCGCTAGTGCGAGGGGAAAGGCAGCAGGCTGAGTTTTGTCCTTTCCCCGCTCCTGGTCTCCAGCAGCTGCATAGCGCTGATTCGGCTCAGCTGCGCCCCTTGCAATTAGGCCCATTTGTGGTCCTGGTTTTATGCCACCAGGTCACCTTTGTAGGGTGCTTATTGGCCTTATTCGCTGCTGCTGTTTGCAGTGATGGTATCTAAGGCTTAACTGCACCCGCCCTCCATGCTAGGTCTGCTGTGCAGGGGTTTGGTTGTGTAACACGTTAAAAGCTGCTGAGTAACTCAGCACCAAATGGAAGGGGCCAGTCCAGGTGCGTCCAAATTCCTTATTCATTTGCTCCCTTACCTCTCCTGCAAGGCTCTCCAGTACCGCACCCTGGACACGGGCTTCCCACGCGGTGCTGGGAACCTTTGTGCAATCGAGGCTGCTCTGCGCCACGGCTAGTCTGTGAATGCAGCTCCCCTGGATTTGGGGGGGGGGTCTCCACAGCCAGGCCCTTTGCAGCTCAGGGCGCAAAGCAGTCGCCTTTGCCCTTTGTGGGGTGATGCTATTTTAGCCGTGCTGCGCTCCTGGGTGTTTCACTCCGCTTGGGAGGGGGGGGGGGCACGCTAGGTTAATGCACAGACGGGCGAGCCGCAAAAAGGGGACGTGAGCAGGGAGCCGCGCGTTTGCTGTGATGCGCTCTGGACTGCAGGAGAAACGCAGCTAAAAGGACCAGCCCTGAGGCGCTTCTGCCAGGGTTAAGGGCAGTCGCTCTGCTGCTGGCAAGGGGATTATACAAGTGAGATTTACCCTGAGTGTCTCCAGCGTGATTTCCTGCTGTTTCTGTTCGGCTCCAGCCGCCAGACCCTTCACCCCAGTGGCTTCAATGTGGTGGGCGGCGCATGTGTCTAGCGCCCCGAGAAGCGAGAATAAGAAGTGATTTAGAGTGACCTTCCTCACCTGGGGCCCCAAAGCCGAGCGTGTGAAGGTTTCTGCAATGGGGCTATGCCGGTGGTTAGACCCCCGCACTGGTGAAATGAAAGTTGAGATGGCTGAAGACGAGCGCTCACTTTCGCCTTCACCACGGATAAGCTGAGCGCGCTAACAAGCCATGGGCTAGCGCTGATCATTACAACCAGAGTTTTATTTTATTTAAAAAAACATTAGCTCTGCTGTGTCTGTGATTTGGGGCTGGAGCTAACGTTGATTCTGGCCCAGGCCATGAGGCAGCCCCCGGTGAGGAACGGTCAATTCGCAAGGGAAAGGGGATTAGCCAGCCTGACCTCAGCTTTAGCCCTTCCCCTTTGTAACACGTTGGTTTACAGTAATTTGCTTTCTGGTAACTTTACCAAACGATGGACAAACTCCTCTGGTCTCCCAAGCTGCGCGCGCAAAGAAATAATGATTTAGTGGGTGGTGGGTTTAAAGCTGCAGAAGGTGGCAATAGACTGCCTAGGCTTTAGCTTGCTAAGTCACTCAGCGCGCCTTCCAAGGAGGGCTGTGAAAATGACCACCAGAGTGCTATTTTATATACCATATAGGGCTCTGGTAGCTCTTCCTTCTTTGAAGCTTAAATGAATACATTATTCTTAGTTAAAGAAAAGCAGGAAGGCTTTGATTAATGAGAAATATGAGAGGCGAGAGGATGTGTATTTGAATTTGAAAATATTTTATTTGAATAGTAAATAGTTATACAGTTGAAACAGTTCTATTGAAGCATTCTATAAATAGCTAACAGTTAAGAAAATAATGTGTGTAGAAAAGAGATTGCATCTAAAAGTAAGAGCTGTCGGTTGCACAAGAGCTGTCTGCGCTCTTGGAGCAGGATAAAATGGTCAAGATTGTGTGTTATTCTAGGTAGAAAAGTTAAAACCTTTTAGCAGATCCCTTTAGAACAAGATCTTCTTCTAAAATGCACAGTGAAATGGCAGGAAGGGGGAGGGGGAAAGCGCATCAAAATATTCACGATCAAATAATATCAATCTTCATAATTAATATAAATAAATAAAGAATAAATAACAATTACTCAAATCAACATATACATATAGTCAGCTCGTGAGTCTACCTCGCTAAGGACAAACAATCGAAAAAAAGACAGTTGGCAGGTAATATTTAAGGCAGTTTCTACAGCATTTTCTGGAGACCATCAACAGTAGAGTCAAGGCATTTGTGGCTATACTAAAGAAAACAAAATGAAGCAGTTTTATTTGTTCACGTAAAAGGGGGTGAGGGTGTAAAGCCAGCTTCCAGCAGTTCACAAGCCATAATAAAGCTAATCATGTGGTAAATTCAATTTACAGCCTGTGAAATATAAAGGCATTATTCTTCGAGATTGACTTAAAAAAAAATAAAACCAACAACCAACCCAACCCCTAGGCTACGCACACAGAGAGATGGGGGCAGAGGAAAACCAGAGAGACTTCCTAAGGGGACCTTGATCCCGCTAGCGATCAAAGAGGGGCTGCTTTTCAGAGGCTGAGCTACAGTAGCAAGGACGGAGGAATCACCACCAAGGAGACACTGGCACAAGTGGATTTTATGATTACTCCCCTCCTCCCCCCTTTGTTTTCAGCTGTAACTAAACCAGGCGCTGGAGGAGGAGTGGGGTGTGGGGGGATCAGCCGGGGGCCTGGAGAGCTCGGCTCTGCAGGGCGAAGCCGGTCCGAGGCAGCGGCCAGGCTGCAGCCCGGGGGGCAGGAGGGGGCGAAGGCACGGCCTAGCAGGCGGGGCGCACGGGCAGCTGCAGTAGGATGACCTGCCGGTTCTCCGAGGGGTGGCACTTGTTGATGTGGCGGGTGAGGCCGGGCGAGCTGTAGAAGGTGGCCGGGCAGTACTTGCAGGGGAAGACCTGCGCCGAGTGCAGCAGGCGCAGGTGCCGCTCCTGGCCGCCCTTGCTGGGGAAGGTTTCCCCGCACACCGGGCACAGGTGGCACTCGCTGGCGGCCGGCGCGCCGGGGCTTTCCTCTGGGCCGGGCCTCTCCGGACCGGGCCCCGGCTCGTGGCCCAGCAGGTGCTTGCGGAGGTAGGCCTGGCGGCGGAACCGGCGGGTGCAGGTGGGGCACTCGTACAGCCCCTCCTCGGAGCCGGACTCCGAGCCGCCGCCGCTGCCGGGGCTGGGCGTGTCCCGCTCGCTGCCGCTGCCTCCGGCCTCCTTGGGCGGCGGCTGCTCCTCGGGCGCCTTGGCGGGCGGCGGCGGCGGGGCGCTGGGGGCCGGCCGCGGCTTGTGCCAGCGGCGGTGCGAGGCCAGGTTGGCCGGGCAGCTGAAGACCTTGTCGCACTCCGGGCAGCGGTACTCCACGCGCACGATGCGCGAGCACTTGTGCTGCGCCAGGGCGAAGGGGTCGGCGTACTCCTCCTTGCACAGCTGGCAGATGAACTCGCCCAGCGGCCGCGGGCCCGGCCCGCCCGCCCCCCGCGCCCGGGGCGGCTCCACCGGCCCCTCCTTGATCTTCAGCCCCAGCACCGGCGACGTGGTCACCTCGTCCTCGAAGTTCAGCTTGCGGATGGCTTTGGCTTTCTTAGCGGCCGGGGGCTTGTGCTTGCCGGGCTCCGAGCCGGCGGGGGGCCGCTTGGGCTGGGGGCGGCCCGAGGAGGCAGAGGAGGGGGGCAGCAGGGCGGATAGACTGCGGGTGCCGGCGCTCGCCTGGCCGCTGCAGAGGGTGGCGCTCTGGGTGCTGCAGTGGGTGCCGCTCAGGGGCCCCTGGGTGCTGCAGTGGGTGTCCCTGTGGGGGCCGCTCTGGGTGCTGCGCTGGGTGCCGCTGGTCTCCGCGGGGCTGGAGGAGGCCCACAGTTTGAGCTCGGCCGGGGCGAAGAGCAGCGGGTCCATGGTGCTGGGCACCGCCGGGGCTGGGAAGGACTCTGCGGAGACCGGCGAGCCCAGGTTGAAGCTGCGCTCCAAGGATTTCTTCTCGTGCTCCTTGCTGACCGGCCGGGTGGGGCTGTACAGCGCCTGGCACGCGGCTTCGGGGGTGCCGAACTGCATGGGCTTGGGGGGCGGCAGCGGCGGTTCTCGGGGCGCGGTGGGGGCCGCCGGATCGGGGCCGGCGGAGGGGAGGGTTGGGGAGCAGAGCTGCTGGCCGCCGGCGAACAGCAGCAGCTCGGGCTCGCCCTCCTGGACGCAGCGGACCCGGTAGGAGATCGGCGTGGCCCTCCGGTTCCTTTTCACCAGGAACCCCCGGGGCATCTTTGGCGGCTGGGCCGGCGGGGAAGGCACTTGGGGCGGCGGCAGAGGCGCGGATCTGCAGCAAAAGGCTTGTGCGTCTGGCTCCAGCCGGCTGCCTCGCTCAGGCTTTGCTGCCTGCTTCTGCCATCCAGTCCGGGCTCAGCAGCAGAGGGACAAACCCCCGACGTGCCGCTGCTGCTGGTCCCCCTTTGCACTTGTTGTCTGGTGGGCGCCCCGCAAATGGGTCCCGTCTGCCCCTGCCCGGATCGCAGCACTCTTTTTAAGGGGAGAGGATGCCATTGTTCGAGCCTCCTGCTCCATCCCGGAGCCAATCAGCGCTTCCTGCGGCTCCTATGGATTGGAGGAGTGTGGGAGGGTGCAGGCTCGCAGAAAGGGGCAGGGACAGCGGGGTCGCTTGCTAGGTACAGCAGATGTACCTGAGGGGTTTCTCTCGTTCGCTTTCCTTTCTCTTCCCCCCTTCCCTCCTCCTTTTCCCCCATTTACTTCTGGCCCCTCCCGGCTAAAGGCACACGCCTGGCCCCTCCTCTTTTCACGGTCTGATGGTTTTCTATAGGAAGGCACACGTGCCTGGCCTTTGTGTGTCTCCTCCGGGGGGCACAGATCTGCCAAATGGAAATGTCCATCAGCATGACAATGAGCAGCATCTCAAATCGGGGGGATTACCCGCGGTTCTGGAGCAAAATAGCAACAAAGGAGAAGAATGGTCAGAAATATGTCAGGAGGGTTCAATATGCAAACTGGAGAAAGGGGGGAGGGGGGGCAGAGAAAGAAAATGTAGATTCTGAATTGTTTAAAAGCTCCCACCCCTCAGGAAATGCTGAAATGGGAAGGTGAAGTAATTGCAAACAAAACATTTTAGGAGATTGCCACTGGAGTCTGAAAATCAGGCCGTTAAATATACTGGTAAAGAAGAGTCCTCAGGAAGTGATAGGAAGCCATTTCGAGGAGAAACATACATGCTGGTATTTTGATTAGCAGCGGATACTTTAAGGGTTTAAAAGCTGGTTAATCTAGTCTGAAGCGCTCATAAAATCCAGCACTACCAGAATCTCTTCGAAAAGTTCTGACCTTAAATAAACACGTTATCAGCAAAGCAAATTGTTGATTTGGTGCATTTTGGAGCTGAAGAGATTGGGCGCTGGTGAGGGGGCTGACTTTTTTGGGGGAGGGGGAGCTTTAATTACAAAAGAAAAAAAACTTTTGTTAAGTTACTGAAAATACAATTGCTCATTCTGGTAAATGAAGCCTCCACCACTTCGTACACTGTGTCAACCTCAGTGTTATTTATTAAAATTATAATGCATTTCTAGTTATATAATTTTGTTCTCCAGCCGGACAAACTTCTTTTACATGATCCTTTGCGGCCTCATGCATTTTAATTCAGTTGGTGCATTTTGTCTGCTGTTTGACATCAGATGCTAAATCAAGGGGTCTAATCAAGTAGCTAAAAAATAAAGAAAGGGTCTGTCTGTCTCTGCACAGTAGCTTCCCAAAGCCTCACTCCCTTCACCTTTGTGAAGGAAATTAACCTCTTTCTATTGAATGCGACCCGCGGCCAATCTGGACGAGAAAGAGACGCGTGCTGCGGGGCTGGGGCAGGGGTAGAAAGACGGGGGGGGTGCGGGGGGGAAGAGAAATCTGTCCAAGACAAGGCAGCGGCTGCAATAGCACAAGACGCTCCCCCCTCTCCGCCAGCAAAAGTCATAAGAGCGAAAAAAACAAACAAAACCCCAATACCCCGCCTCCCTCCCCGCTACATTTGGGACGCAAAAGGCGTTATCCTTCTAAAGTCTCTGTCTCTCTCCAGATTGCTCAAGGAAAAGCATGGACCAAAGTCTCAGGCAATAAATACCTGTTACATGCGGATGGGCTAAAACCTTCCCAGAGCTGCTTGTCCTTTAATCTTGTCTAGAAAAAGGATGTAGGAGAGGGATAAAAAAAAAAGTGGCAATGATTTCCCCCCAGCCTTAGAAAGAAATGGATCGAAAGCCAGCTAGACGACTCAGGCTTCCCGTGTGATTCTTGTGTCTGCTCCTAATCGAAGGGAATGTATTAGCCCCCCTCTCCCCCCCAGTGCCCCAACGCTGAAGTTTGTTAGCTGATCTACATGGTGGTATTTTTGTTCGTAGGTTACTTATTGCCCTTAGTTACGCAGGGCCAGGGTTGGGCATGAACCACCAAAATAAATGGTCTGATGTTGAGGGTGCTGAACGCTTGTGCCAATGCTTTAGTATCACGGCAATAAAGTTAAGGGAAGCACGTGCCTGTCTGCAAGATTGGGAATTTAAGGTAGCGCTGAGATGCAAGCTAGACCCTAGTGTAATAATTCATATGTTGCCTGCCATTCGTTATCGGGCAAATAGTCAGTTAATGATAGACCACTGGGAAAAACGAGAAAAATGTTTATGTGCCATAGCTCTCTTCCCCTTCCCCACCACATCAGCCTCATACTGGAGCTAATCAAACCATTCTTTCTCCTGCCTATATTGCAAACATCCAGAAATGTCTGCTAATCCAAATGCAACTGATGTTATTTACTAGCCGTTTTAATCCCGATTTATATTGCTTCTATACCGACAGAGATGAAGCGGTACTAACGCCCCCCTCCCAAATTACTTTCTCCAATTTTTATTACTCTGTAGGTTCCAGCTTGACTAGTTTTGTAGTTGCTCAGACTCTTCTCCTGCCCTATATATGTGAGGAATATAGGCACTCATTTTCATTAAAAAATTATACAATAGATAAGTCAAACTACGTAACTTTAAAAAGCTGAATGCAAAAGAAAAAAAAACCGACAAAAACCAAAAACCCGCTGCAGCACAGCGAATTCAAACAGTGCTATGAATTAACCAAAGGGAATCTATTGAAACCTATTGAGATACTTAGATTCAAAGGATCCGTTTCTTTTTGTTGTTTTGCTAGCCCCAGCCAGCTGAAAAAAACAAAACAAAACAAAAACCAAACCCCTCCTTGCTTTCAGTCGTGTACGGTAAAGATTAATTGAAACTTGAAAGGTACAAGTATTCTAAACTAATTTTCACAACAACGGAGTGGAAAAAATGTTGGGGAGGGGGAAGACACCCGTCTTCAAAAGCAGGTGCAGCAGTGTGCATCATCTGACAGTTGGAGCTGCTGCTGGGCTATGCAGGCTCTTTGCTGCTTCTAGCACTGCAGCTATGGATCACCCTCCAAAACAGCTTGCGTTTAACCCTAAAGCCGTTTTAGACTGGGGAGTCTTCGGGGCAAGGACTGGGCCCTCCTTTGCATTTGGACAGCTCTTACCGGAGCATGCTGCGGGCACTACTGCAATCTGCACGAAGCAGCACAACATACTAGTCATAATGACTTTAGCACCGATCTGGGGAAAGGCGCTGTCCAGGCAGTTGTAATAAACAGATCCTTTTAAAAAATCAAATAGTATCAGTGCCTGAAACTCAAGACGCGACTGTTATTTTTGAAGCGCTTGAGTTGAATGACTGAGTCCTTCTGAAACTACAAAGCAACTTCTGCTCCATCCCTATTTAACTCTTTGTCTTCAGCAGAAAACTTCCACGTTTCCCCCAGGGGATTCCCAGCTGAGTCCACCCCGCCCCCTTCCCTTACAAACCACTTTGTTTGCGCCAAGTTCCCTTCACAAGCAAGACGAGACCAACGGCATATGTGGGAATTTGCACAGGGAATATTTCATAGCTCCTCAGGCCAGGAGAGACCGCTGTCATCTTCTAGTCTGACCTCCTGTGTGACACAGGCCATAGGCCTTCTCTGAATGAATTCCTGTTTGAAACAGAGCCCAGCTTTGACAAAGAGATCCAGTCTTGAGTCACTTCAGCGCCACGATTTACAACTTTTTTTTTTTTTTTGGAAGGGAATAAGGCATGTTGTGTTTTTCTCGCTCCGTTTCGTTTGTATTCTGCCAAGCTGGAAAATCAGTGGCAGCGAAGCTCAATTGCATGGCGTTTTCCTTTTGGCGAGGCTTGCTGGGGAGACGCGTTTCTACAAGATCCCTTATTATCCTGTCCTGTGACGAGGCATGGGGGGGGGGGCGGAGCACAGACAGTTTGAGCCAAGGGGGTTGCTATTTTGAATGTTCCTGCGAGCTCATCGGAGCGAACAGTTTGTCCATCCCTCAGCTTTATTGATTTGCCTACTTTACTCAAGATTTTAAGCATGCCTCCCTGTTTCAGCCGACAGGCGCACAGCGGTTTTGATTACTCAACACAGCACTAGCGTAATGTGTTTGGCGGAACAAACCCAGAATTGGGCTGAAATGTGACATGCAAAGAGCAGAGCCCTGCCTCCGATTAGATTTTTCTTTTTAAATCTACCCTTCCCCCTTCCTGGTGTAAGTATCAAGTGGCTTACAGATTTTTACTTACACCTACACCCCTTGTCAGACAGTTTCATCACATTCACATTTTTGTACGTATCAAGTTGACTAGAGATTGTTTTTTACACACACACACACACACACCCTTGAAAGTTGCAATCAAAAAGGTTCATCAGGTTCCTAACCCCCATTGTTGCATGACGCATAAACAATTGCTGGGTTGCTACTGTTTGACCCGGAGCTCGGGAGCGAGCGCAGCGCGTTTGCAGGAATTAGCGATTGTTGTGTCTGTCTGCGGGCCACGCGAGAGACACGCGAATCCCTCTGCCCGCTCCCTCCCCCCCGCGCCTTCTATTCACCTTCCCCTCTCCCCCGCCCCGCTCCCTTTGTTCAGCAGATTAGCATAAAGCTGCTATGGATCTCCCGTTTAAATAATTACACACAAAAGAATACTACATGAAAGCGAGCGAAAACAAGAAAGAGCCCACGAGTCTGTTCCATTTCACCCAGCTACCAGAAGAAAAAGACCTGAAGTATTTTCTATTGCTTAAGTTTCAAGTATCCCCCAATGGCAATCTGCTCTGCTCCCATTATTCAGCTTTTTTGAAGGGTGGGGGGTGGGGGGGGGAGAAAGAGAGCAGCTCTTTTATTACGCAAAATATACTGGGTAGAG